TTTGCTTGAAAAACAACGTAATTGCAGCATATAAATTACTTTTTTCACAAGAAAGTTTCAAAATGTTTAGCTTTTGAGGCTTTTGAAAGCTTTTGAATCTTTAGTGTGCATCTCTATTTGTTTTTACGATTGTTTAGCCTACCTGTAAAGCTCTATATCCGACCCGGCTGTAGTTCTGTGGGACATCCTCGTCCCAATTGATCTGTATGCTAAAATATCATTCCTTTAAATAGAAAATGTTTTTTTTTATTCAAACATTTCGTCTTTGAGGTGATCGTCAGAGGAAAGCGCGAGAAATGTAAACTCGGCGTACCCTGCGTCACTGAGGGATAACACTTCAAAAGAGATATCCAATTCCAAATCATCTCGATCTGAAAAATGTCTCAAAATCATCGCAACACATGCTCATTCTAAAAACGCCTAATTCATAAAACTACCGTACTCAAATCGTCAGTTTTTCGAGCGAAATTTCGAAAGTCAGCGAAAGTCAGCGAAATTTTTGTGCCATTCCCTTAGCCTTGTTGTTCCTCATCGAACGACACCCAAAAACAAACTGATTCATTGAAAACTCGAGATTTTATGAATTAAGTGCCTTTTAGAATGGGATTAACTAATTATTTGCGTCTAGGCACATGTTCAAGTCAGGCCATTGCCGATTGTGAACCTTTTTTAAGTGCCACTCACCACATTCCAATGTAAATCGCATCACACACTCGGTTTTCATTGTCGGCTGGGTGAGTTGTAAGGGATTTTTGTAACCAATCGAATCGATCACCTTTATTCCCTCGCAAAAGTCGAGTCTACTTGGGGCACACTCAAGAAAGTCGTCTGTTATGTCAAAGCGTGCTAAACAAAGTAAAAACAAACATGAAATTAATGGAAAACTAAAAGATTTCTATTGTAAGCTCTTTTTGCTAAGCTATTGTTGTATTAAATTTTTCGGCTCTTTCCTAAATCGCGGTTTTTCAAAAGTTTCGAGGTTTTTTTGTCAAAAAAGGTCAGTTTTTTGATCTTTTTGATAAAAAAAACGCTTTATGAAGAATCAGAATTATCAGAAGCTTTATCAAAAACAGCAATAAAGAAGAAATTCTAATAATGTCAATTCTAGAATACTTTTAGTGAAACTCGTTTCTTTTAAAAGCTAGTGTCTCGGCTTGTTTCGCACAAATTTCGTTTTAAACAAAGAAAAAAGGAATTAATGGAAAACTAAAAGATTTCTCGAAAGTTAAAACTATCGCTGCATTAAATTTTTCGACTCTTTCCGTGGTTTTTTAAAAGTTTCGTGGCCTTTTGCAATTTTTTTTTACTAAAAAGTCTTTTGAAATTGTTTTAACGTTTTTATTAAGTATTAGGCCAAAAGAAAGCCTCTCGTTTGTGCCGCGGCCACTTCCGGAGGTTGACTTTGAACGACATCGCACAGAATTCCTCGTGGATATCGTCAAGTTGGCAAGGATGTCTGTCTTGGCTGTATGTAAAGGCCAGCTTCACAAACATTTGCGAGTCAAGCCTTGCGTTTTACTGGGATTGCTGTTCTTACGATTGTTCTTTAAATGCTGATCAAATATAACTTGCACAAAAAAAATTGCAAAAGACTACGAAACGGACTTTTTTTTTGACAAAGGAGCAGAAGACCACGATTCAGGAAAAAGCCATTTTTTCAGTACTACTTACCGACATCAATCCCCACACTAGGTGAACAATTCGCCGGCACGATGACGCTATAAAGGTGTGATTGAAGAGACTGCTCTACAAATGGTTCGTCGTCACTGAAATAGAAAGCAAAATATTACCCAGCTACTCTTTTTCTTCAACAATCAAATCTCACTTGAAGCTCATCAGCGTTCTATCATCCACTGTGTGAAGACTCGGAGTTGGTGGTCCGGCAATCAAAACATAACCACAATTTGTTGTGTGGCGACCCTGTAACGGTAAGTTTTCTCTCTGAAACAAATTGATGTCGGTAAATAGGCATTGTTGTACTGTACTGTGGATTGGTTTTAAAAATTCTTTTTTTGAAGTAAACGGAACTGATTTCAAATCCAAAAACCTCACCCATCGGAATTCTTTTAACAAGTTTGACCCTCCATGAGTGTAACTGAGTGTATTGCCAGGATGAGCATCGGCAAATAAAATGATTATCCATTTATCCTTTCGTGATGCCGGGACACGAATTGCACTCGGAACAACTGGCGAAAGCGGTTGTAGAATGTAGTCGATTTCAGCTAAACAATTTCTTGCAGAGAGCCTTGTCGAAGAGGCGCTAATCCACTTTGAAAACTTTTCAGATATCTGAGATTCAAATGCCTTTGCTTTATCACCTAATTCAATTTTCAACTCTTATTAAATTAAATTACAGTCAAATCTCGATTTAACGATTCTCTCGCTTTAACGTTGCCGATTTTTGGTCCCTTGATAACTATTTACCTTGTAAAGACGTTCGATTCAACGATGTCAATTTTTCGTCCCTTGATATCTATTTACCTTATAAAGATGTTCGAATTAATCATTCTCTCAATTTAACGATGTCAATTTTAGGTCCCTTGATATCTATTGGGTTGTCCAGTTATGAATGCGCGTTTTTTACTATTAGGTTGGTGCAAAAGAAATTTCGGTCGATATAAAATGTTCTTATTTTTTTAATCTGAAGAGCTTATTTGATGTTCTTTTGTGCATTTGTACTCTTGGATATTTACTTTATTTTCGCATTTTTTCAAAGTCAGAGCTTTCACTTTTTAATTGATTTTTGCTTTAGATCAGGTGGATCAAAAGTATGTTCTGCGCACGTGTCTTCTCTATGACTTCAGAATGGGCAAAAACGCTGCTGATTCACATCGTGATCTCTGTTCCGCCTTTGGAGAACAGGTTATCACCGAAAGATCATGCCAGCTCTGGTTTGCCCAATTCCGAGATGGTAATGAATCCCTTGAAGACGAATCGCATGGACATCGTGCCACAGCCATCGACAACAATGAATTGGAACAATTAATTGAAGCTGATCCAATGCAAACAACACGAGAACTTGCCAAACATCTCCAATTCAACAATTGTACGCCATTTGGAAATAATGGAAAGACAAACGAAGGACAACGGTTCCACACAATTGAGTGTTGAGAATCTGGGAGCACGCGTTCCGACAGCCAATCTTGCTCCAGAAGTCGAAAAGAAGCCATTTTTTGAGAATATCTTGACGATGGATGAGAAGTGGATTCACTTTGATAATACTTCTCGAAAAAGACAAGGCTGAGCAAAGGTCAAGCGCCAATTCCAACTCCAAAGCCGGATTATCATGGGCGCAAAGTGATGTTGTCTTGCTGGTGGAAATCAATGGACTTGTTCATTTTGAATTATAGAGCCCGGAAAAACAGTCGACACTTATTTTATTCAACAACTCAAGAAGGTTGACGAAATTTGCAGAAAAAGGCCAAACCCTCAACTACAACTTTCTCCGTGATAATGCTCCAGCTCACACGGCAAAAACCCTTGTAAGGAGCAGAGAAGCTAGGATGGAAGGTCTTACCACATGCGCCGTATAGTCCAGACTTAGCACCCTCCGATTTTCACCTTTTCAGATCGATGCAACATTCCCTTGAGAATGCCAGTTTAAGAATGCAAAAGAAGTCGAAAATTGGGTGACCAACTACTTTGCATCACAGAATCAAGCGTTCTTTGAGAAGGGGATCCGCAATCTGAAGCAACGTTGGAGGGATGTCATAGATAATAATGGTGCTTATTGTTTTAAATAAATTGTTATCTAAAAAAATTTTGGATGACTTTAATGTTTGTAAAAAAACGAAATTTCATTTGCACCAACCTAGTATTTTGTAAATTTCTCAAGGTACCGAAATCAAGAAAAAGATATATATGAGTATTATTCGAAAGCTGAAGATCTCCTCTACATTTTGATATAAAAAGTTCTTGAATTTGCCGAGCTTTTGGGCAAATTGACTGCACAGAAGAAGAGGTGGCCAAAAAATGGAAGGGTGCCTTTGGATCAAGTTTTGGCTCCGCTCAAATTGAGTTAACCGTTTGATGGTTGGCCAATAGATATATCAATACAACTTGTTTTTAAATATAACAATTTCAGAGCATCTTTACTTTTCTTTTCTTTTCTGGGCGGTTATTTTACACCATAAAACTTGAGGAATAGCTAAACTGAAATGGGTTTTTTTTTGAAAACGACCTCTCCCTTTGTGCAGTCAATTTCCCAAAAAGTTAAATGAATTCCAAAACTTTTTGATTCCAAAATGTAGAGGAGATCTTCAGCTTTCGAATGATATATAACACTTCTTCTTTTGAATTTCTTTTGCTGTTAAAAACAATGTTTTGGTGAAAAATTCTGTAGACATTTTTAAGATTTAAAATGCTAACGGAAGTGAGGGATAAAAAGTAACACGAGAAACACGAGAAAAGCAATCATCAGGAGAATTGGAGAATTCCGAACAAATATAGTTTTACAAAGTTTCAGTTTGTGAAAAATTAAATTGAGATTCTGTTGAATTTTAATCTATTTGCTTTCTTCTGTATTTCCTTGTTAAAAGTGAATTTTTTTTGCCGTTAAAAACAATGTTTTGGTGCAAAAATTCTGTAGACATTAAAATCTTCCATTAGACATCTTCCATTAAAAATCCATGTACCACATGAAAAAATCTAAAAATCAAAAATTTTTCTTAAACGGATTCCAAATCCGGTTATTATCCGGATATTATCCGGAAAAAGTCCAGGCTTTCCGGATTTAGCCCCTCCGCTTAGCCCTGGTTGGGATAAACCCAAATTTTCGATCATTTTTTGATGAATAACGATCTGAACTCACCGTCGCCCCATTGACGCCCCCTTATCGAAACGATACTTTGATCAAAGTAGCTGCGACGTTCAACAAAAAGAAAAAGAAAATCCTTTTTGTAAGTAACACATAAAATTTGCACATTTTCTCTCCCTAGAGCAAGCCCGCTGAAAGTTTGAAAAAGAAAACTCTTAGAATTGCCTCCAAACTCGTCGACTTACGTGTTCGTGCAGTTGAGTTTCGAATATTCGCCGTTAATCTGCAATGGTGAGACCTCAGTACAATTTCCTATCTATAATTTTTTTTGAGTTAAAAAAAGCCGGAAAACTCAACTCACTTCGTCAATTGGACAATGAATTACAATTTCAACGACAATTTCGCAATCATTCCCCTCATCACAATCGCTATCGATACAAAGGTATCCATAAAAATCGTTTATTGCTGAAAGTTGACAGTTTAAGTCTGAAGTTTTTTTATTTATTTGATTTATTTGATACCGTATTTCTTCTAATAGTTCTTTTTTTTTCCCCAAAACAAAACTTGAAATTGAAATTTTCCCAAGCAGAATAGCAGTAAATTTTTGGTAAAGACATTACAACAGCTTTTTGATATTTTTCAGCTGATATAATCGGTCTATCTATCTCATCTTTCTAATACTATCTTACCCAGTTCAATTTTTATCAACCTAGTTTACTTGATTCGAATAATCGCCACACGAAACTGATGAAACCCCGTCCAATCACCTGAGAGACAAAAAGTTTCACCAAATTGCGGGATTTTTTTGAACTATTGGGTTGTCCAGTTATGAATGCGCGTTTTTACTATTTTGTAAATTTCTCAAGATATCGAACAGATGTATATGAGTGTTATATATCATTCGAAAGCTGAAGAACTCCTCTACATTTTGGAATAAAAAAGTTTTTGAATTCATTCAACTTTTTGGGAAATTGACTGCACAAAGGGAGAGGTCGTTTTCAAAAAAACCCATTTCAGCTTAGCTAATCCTCAAGTTTTATGGCGTAAAATAGTCGTCCAGAAAAGTAAAGATGCTCTGAAATTGTTATATTTAAAAACAAGTTGTATTGATATATCTATTGGCCAAACATCAAACGGTTAACTCAATTTGAGCCGAGCCAAAACTTGATCCAAAGACACCCTTCCATTTTTTGGCCACCTCTTCTTCTGTGCAGTCAATTTGCCCAAAAGCTCGGCAAATTCAAGAACTTTTTATATCAAAATGTAGAGGAGATCTTCAGCTTTCGAATAATACTCATATATATCTTTTTCTTGATTTCGGTATCTTGAGAAATTTACAAAATAGTAAAAAACGCGCATTCATAACTGGACAACCCAATAAAACGTTCTGAAACTTTGTCAGAATGTGCACATTCCATAGACGCATCTATAGAAACAAAAAATCCATTTGCTTTACTCATTGCTGAGAAAACTTAAAAACCTGACGCATATTTTCAAAGTATTTGGCGATTATTTGAAGAAAGGTATCTTTCTTTCCAATTAACTCAGTAACTTTTTGTTTTTCGTCTGATTCTATTGGGTTGGGGAGAATGAGTCGGCGCCGAACTTTAAAGGGACTTTTTGCACACATAAAGCCTTCTTTAAACATACGTTTGGTTTCATCAAAAGGATTCACTATTTCTCTACAAAATGACTTTTGAGAGATTCCACAAAGCTTTTCTTTCGTGGAGTTTATGAACTTCCAAATGCAGCTGGTTAAAATGGCAAAGAGTCCGACTCATCATTTGAACAGTTTCTTTCACATAAACCTTCTTTGGTGTTTATATAAAAAAGATAGAGCACATTCAATTACTTAAGTTGCCAAATTTGCAGGAAGATCCCACCAATGGTTTTTTCTAGATCACAGTTTGTAGTTTTTGTGAAAAAATGGCTTTTTCTTGAGCGGAGGCGCTGTTTGAATTTTCTTTTAAATGCCATTTTGTAGAGAATTAGTTAACCATTCTACTGATATCAAACGCATATTATTTGACGAAGTCGAATAGAAGTTTTAGACATTTTTTTGATTTTCGGCGCCGACTCATTCTCCCCAACCCAATATAATTCTTTTCCAATAATTCTATAATTCGAAGTCTTCGATATTTTAATAGGAAAGCTATTGGGTTGTCCAGTTATGAATGCGCGTTTTTACTATTTTGTAAATTTCTCAAGATACCGAAATCAAGAAAAAGATATATATGAGTATTATTCGAAAGCTGAAGATTTCCTCTACATTCTGATATAAAAAGTTTTTGAATTTGCCCAGCTTTTGGGCAAATTGACTGCACAGAAGAAGAGGTGGCCAAAAAATGGAAGGGTGCCTTTGGATCAAGTTTTGGCTCCGCTCAAATTGAGTTAACCGTTTGATGGTTGGCCAATAGATATATCAATACAACTTGTTTTTAAATATAACAATTTCAGAGCATCTTTACTTTTCTTTTTTTTTCTGGACGACTATTTTACGCCATAAAACTTGAGGAATAGCTAAACTGAAATGGGTTTTTTTTTGAAAACGACCTCTCCCTTTGTGCAGTCCATTTCCCAAAAAGTTAAATGAATTCCAAAACTTTTTGATTCCAAAATGTAGAGGAGATCTTCAGCTTTCGAATGATATATAACACTCATATACATCTGTTCGATATCTTGAAAAATTTACAAAATAGTAAAAAACGCGCATTCATAACTGGACAACCCAATAAACAAAATTAGCTAAATAAAGTTGATGTCACACTCACAGGATGATATGTAATTGTAAATCGAGTCTCCATGAAAAACAAGTATTGGCTCCTCATCACTCAACTCATATCGCAAATAACAGAAGTCATCGTCGAGCTCTTTCGGCAGTAAAGCGCTTATTTTTATCCAAAAACCGAAACGATTTCCATGAGATTTCTCCGGGCTCCAAAGTATCTTGAGAAAAACGAAAAACGTTATCATAAATATGATTCAAGTCAAATTTCACCTTCGTTTTCTGCCCCTTGACTGGTATTTTCTGAAATTTCGCCTAAAAGGTGGCCCACAATTACCCGTTTTTTTTCTTATAAACTCTATTTCAGCATTAAATTTATTGTTCAAAGTAAACATTTACCCATTTTAATTGTATCATAGTAACTTTTTGTTTAAACATTCACTCATTGAAAAGAAGGAAATTGGATAAAAGTGGCTCACAATTCCCGCACTCGGTTCAAATTCACATTATCACGAACTTTAATCCCAAATCGAAATTCATTCTTTTCTAGTAAAAATGAGCTAGATTTTGAAAATAATAAGTCAAAAGGAGTAAATGAAGCTGATTGTTTTTGATTTTGAGCCATTGAGTTTGGGGTGCGACCCGCTTTAACCTTATCATCGAGGATGATTCTGCTTAAGAATGACCGAATAGCACAAAAGGTTAAAAGGGTTTCCCCAAAGCGCTTACAACGTAACAAGAACACGTAGTATCCAACATAAGATTAATCCTTGTCGGTGGCGACACAAATGTTAGTAAGCTCTCTCTACAATGTTAAACCAGTTATCTAAACAGGATTTAAAACCTGAGGGGTAGCATAAAGTAAGTTGAATTTATAATTTTACTGTTTATTAGTACAAAACCAAAATGCAACAATAGAAACAACAAAGTCCCCCAAGAAAGAAAACAAAAGAGACCCCCGACAGAAAAAAATAATTTCGGGAAGGGAGAAAAAGACGAAAAATGCGACGCGAATAATTGCAAAATAGGAACGCAAATAGGAAGGAAACGGACGCGACCATTAAAACTAGTTCTAAAAACCAGAAAATCGCGATTCCACCCCAGGAAACGCGTGTCGAAACTTTGCAGCGCTCTAGCAAAAGTTCAGAAGCTTTTCTGATCAAATCCAGAGAACGCATTGAAGGAGAAATATTCAATTTGATAATAAAAAAAGAATTAGATCGATTAATTGACTGGAGCTAAGCTGGAGGATCTGAACGGAATGCGGGTAGCAAAAGTTGATTTATACTAATAAACAAAATTTTCGAAAATCGTGTAAGAGACGGTTGCGAAAACTAAGATGAAACTTGATTCAAATCGTCCTTTAAAACAAGTTTCATGAAACTGATCCATAAAATGAGATTTAATTTGTTAACTCACCGAAAAACATGTCGAGTTCCAGGTGGTTGTCTTCTCAGAAATACTGAAAGCGGACTTTTTTTGCTTGACAAAAGTTTTTTTTCGATTCGGTAAAAACCTGATTATGAACGATGGAACATTTCTGTTGCTGGAACGGCAGTTGAAAACCCATACGGTTATATTGCCCCCTTCGACAACTATCAGCTCAGCGACAGTGCCAGTCTGAAAAAGGAGATTTTAGCAGGAAATGAGCAAAGTATATCATAGAAATGATCAAGTTCTTTTTTTCCATAGATTTATAACACTTCTAAACCCTGTCTATCCGTTGTTTTTCGTCCGCTCTGTAGCGTTCACGTTAAATATCTGACCAAAAGTGATTTCAGGATACACCGGTCAGTTCACCTCATTGTAGTGGACCAAGTGGTCGTCCTTTATCGCTAGTTCTTTCGTTATTCGTTAGCATATCGTTAGTTCTTACATAGTGCTCAAATTAGATTTCAATTTCTGCTATTTGATGCTCAATTAAACATTATTTTCTTGTATTCGCTGTTCTGTCACAAGAAAACGGCACAAAAGTTCAGAATATTTTGGGATTCACGGTTAAATTGCGCCGTTAAATTGCGCCATTAAATTGCGCCGTTAAATTGCGCCATTAATTTGCCTATCAGCCAACGATCAGCTACTGCGTCAGCTGGGCAAATAGGTTCCAGCAATAGAATGATGAAAAGCAGAATGAATCAAGCAAACAAATCAAATCAATCAATCAAATCAAACTAATCAAACGCGAATTGGAAGTTTGTTCTGGCTAGGAGCACTTCTGAACCAGTGTTATAAATCCTGTCTAACCGACTGAAGAGTGCACTGAATCTGTTGAACATTCTGGGCAAAACCCGAAGCTGACTTTTCAACGATTGCCTTTTATTGGTCAACGATTTACTGACGTGTGGAAGTTTAGTCTCCAAATTCCATTTATTGTCCCCATTCCATTCATTTGGATCATCAAACACCCACGGGTAGTTGATAGAACTAAGCGCCACTGGTACTGTGGGGTTGAATGTAAAAACTGAAATTTAGAAAAAAAACTGTATGAATAGAGGCGTCGAAAACTGTGGGAAAAGTAAGGAAAAGCTCGGGTTTTAGGATTCTCACATGGTACGTCCTCTTGTCGCACCAAAAGTCCAAATGTGCAAACGTGTTCTTTTGGCACAATGCTTGCCACAGAAGTACTTGCTATAAATGGTGGGCTGTCAGACCTAAATCGACAAAATTACGATTGAGCTCAATGGGAACCGCTGATCAAGAAAATGCCATGTCCATGCCATCTCATTCAAAGCCGGTGCTCCACCAAAGTACGCCGAGAAAAATGTGTTTAACGAGCAGCTGAAGTCCACCCAAAAAAGAAACGATTTACCACACAAGCACTTCTGATTTTGATCTACTCCTGATCTAGCGTAGATAAATTTGGTGCATCTTTGTGCATATCCAGTTGCACTTTATGCAGTAGCAAGTTCCAAGCCAGTAAGCCGGTTGAATAGCTCACAAAATGATTCAGATTTCTTTTTTCTGTTCTCAATCTTGAACTCACTTAAAAGCCCAATTGGAAGCTCTTTTAATGAAAATTGTGTTTTTTTTTCTGACCTCATAAAAACATTTATCACATATGGCAGAGATGTACGCAGAAAACCATAGCCTTTTACGAAAACCGATGCTAAAAGCAAACAGATGTACGGAAACAACACACTAACCTTGTGTCAATTGCAGGATTGTTGACAATTGTCGCTATCGTGTTTTCTGGGATCAACCACAATGGCGTGAAGTCATCGTTTGGCTCGTAAAATGGCACGACAAGAACTCTTTTATTCTCTAAAAAGAGGTCTGGTTTTCTTTAACCTATTCATTTTTGGCATTTTCAGTTTTACAAATGCAAGGATTTTCACACAGAAACTTCTTTTACGTAACTTGTTAGATGAGAAACTTAAAACAAAAAGTCTTTAGTACATAGATGATGTCAGATTCGATTTGAATTGGTATAAGGTTCGTTTGATTTGATATTAGATTCGATTTGATTTGATATTAGATTCGATTCGATTTGATATCAGATTCGTTCGATTTTATATCAGATTCGTTCAATTTCATATCAGATTCAATTTGATTTGATATCAGTCTCGATTTGATTTGATATTAAGCTATTAGCTAATCTAGACTGAATACCCATTCCAGACTAAATACCGTAATCCAGCTAATCTAGACTGAATACCCATTCCAGACTAAATACCGTAATCCAGCTAATCTAGACTGAATACCCATTCCAGACTAAATACCGTAATCCAGCTAATCTAGACTGAATACTCTAATCTCGTTATCAGATTCGTTCAATTTCATATCAGATTCGATTTGATTTAATACATATTAAAAACCATGAACTTCGGTGGTTATTTAGTAAAAAAAACTAACTATGCAAAGAGATTTGAAATAATTGAAAGCGATGAAAGGAACCCACCATCGACCCATTGGCGTACACGAAACGAGATCGCGAACTCCAACGTTTTGGCATTCGGTGACGGGCTCACAACGACCATCGATTGTTTTTCGAGTACTATAGAGCAACTGTAGGTGAGATGCGGAGGATAAACCCCATCATCTTTGTTTCCGAAAATCCCAATTGGCCTGAACATTAGACTTCGGGCAAGAAACCTTTTGAAACGAAAACATTGGCACGTGACAAATCTCATTGATTGGCGTGGATCCATTGAGAAGAAATGGTAACTTGTCACGGCAGAATTGGGCAAACTCGTGGCGGGAGGATTCGATGATCTGAAAAGAGCTAACCTATCACATTGATTCTAATAGAAGCAAATGTGCTTCTATTTTTCAACCTCCCAAAATTGGGCGGCCAAAAAAGTAGGTAAAGGGGGATCAGATCGATCAAGAAAATAAAATTTTCTAAAAACTATTTTAAACGTTAGCCCTTGGTCTAAAACGTACTAAAAACACGTTTAAAAGTCAAATCATTTTTTCATCCGGAGCTCGCAAAAATTTCGCGGAAAAATCCATGTGGTCCCAAAAATCCCTTATGAATTTTTTTGAAATTCTTCGAAAACCAAGTTTGAAATTTTACTACCAGCGCAATATTAGTTAGTTTTAAGTCTAGAGCTATCCATAGAACCCTCACAAGGGGGGTCTCAAGTCAAGATTTTGAAAGATCTCGAAGGATCTGTATTGTTACTGCTATTAGACTATTAGAGTGTGCTTCTATTGGAGAGTGTGTTTCTAATAGACATTAGTTAGTTTGAAGTCTGGAGCTATCCATAGAACCTTCACAAGGGGGTCTCAAGTCAAGATTTTGAAAGATCTCGAAAGGATCTGTATTGTTGCTTCTATTGGAATAATTACCGTATGTTTTTTTTTCATTGCTTTCAAAAGTTTAAGACATTTAACAACTGGAAACGTTTCAAATATGAAATTATTTGGCCTTAATATTTAATAATAGCTTAATATTTAATAATAGCTTAATATTCAATAATAGCTTAATATTTATATGAATACTTTGAAATACATCTTTGAAATATTAACACTTTTCAAATTTGAATACATTCTTTGAATACATTTCATAAAGTTACGAAACTCACCGTACTATTTTTCTCTTCAGCACTGCACTCTACAATTGTGAAATCGATGAGAAAATCGTGATCAATCGCTCCATAAATTGAAATTTCCTAGAAGCCGTTTTACCGTAAAATTTTACAATACACCAAGTGGCTTGGTTTGCTAAAATTTACTTTTTTTTAAAGGAGGGGAGGAGGTATTAATCGCGGCCGGGTGACGATAAAAATTTTTTTACGGCATTTTTTTTTTGTTTTTTTTATTTTAGTATCGCTGATTTTATTATAAAAAGAATAAAAATCACCCGGCTAGAGTGATTTGATGGGTTTACAAATTTTTGGAGACACTGCAAGGCTTGGAGAAAAACAAGATCGTCACTCATCAGACACCTCAGCTAAAAGGCATTTGAGGAACATCTAGCTATGATGAGGAACCTATTTGAGAAAACTAAAACCACAATCGACCACAAATGGAAAAAAGATCTAATTGTGTCAATCAAAGCGCTGAAGACGTCCTACGGTGGAGGAGATCCAGTCACTTCTGGTGAAGATGCGCTGGAAATTGATAAGATAGGAAGCCGATTTGAGGAACTGCTGTACTTGAGCGAAGATGAAAGTGAGCAAGAGGAAGAATTATTGATTAACAATTTATTTTTATTGTTTTTTGTGCTTTTTATTTTGTTTTTAAATTTATCTGCAATTAAAACTCAATCGATCTAGACTGTGCTGAGGTGTCTGATGAGTGACGATCTTGTTTTTCTCCAGTGTCTTTTTCAGCCTTGCAGTGTCTCCAAAAATTTGTAAACCCATCAAATCACTCTAGCCGGGTGATTTTTATTCTTTTTATAATAAAATAAAAAAACAGGTGGTTGCCGTAAAAAATTTTTTATCGTCACCCGGCCGCGCGATTAATACCCCCCCCCCCCTCCTCCTTTAAACAATTAATAAAAATTTAAAAGTTTTTCAAATATTTTCCATAAAATAATCAACTCGAAGTTCCCTGAGCCGTAAGCCGTGAATGGCGTAAGATGGGCTGCTTTCATCCAATTGCAGTTTTTTCGGATCGAAACTTTCAACCCATAAAAGCCAAAATGATACAAATGAAACGTGAAAAAACATCTCTAAAATATAAACATTGCAACTTAAAATCACAGTTTGAACTTTAAAAAAGTAAAAATTCTCAACAAGAAGCACTATTTTAGCATCAAAATAAGAGAATCAGCAACGATTAAAAGGAGAAACCGGATATTTTATGAAATCTTTCAACTTGATTCAAGATTTTAGAAACACACAACATCTGACCAAAAGAAACTTCAAAACGAAAAGCGACAAAAGACGAGCTTTCTACAATGCTCACTTAATACTTTCTTCTTAAAAAGAATATGGGCTTGACAGAATAGCTCAGTTGCTCGTTTCTCAAAACCCCTCGTTTCACTTGATCCTCACGAATGAAATGTTTTTCATTAAAACGATTCCGCCTCACAAAGAATTTCACATAATTCACGAAACTCTCCCAATTATTGTCGCAACACAATTTCTTCCATTAGAGAACGTTTTTCTTTGAAAAGTTTAAATGTACGAGAGTTTAGGTGAAGAGATTCCCAAGATGACCAGTGCTTGTCATAGATCTTATAATATCCCGATTAACTTCATCAGAAAGAAAGAAAAATGGAAGAGTGATTGCTCAATCACTCATCCATCTTCCGGCTCGTCTGTTAGCGCCAATTGAAGAAAAATTAAAAAAACAAAAAGCTTCGAGTTTCATGAATTTCGTGGGAAGTGATCACAAAGTTCTATTTTTCAAAAATTCTCTTTTTAAAGACGTAATCGTTTTTAATCTGTCGTTTTTGAAAGGAATTAGCAGAGACTGACACAACGAGTGTACAGTTATTGATAATGCTGCAAAGTGACAACATAGTTCTATGTTCTTGTTTAGTTTTTAGTGCGAAAACTAAAAACAGCTTTGATCATTTTTAAAAACAATTTCAAGTAATTTATGGGCAAAGCATACACAGTATTTGTCATAATTAGCTTGATTTTCTTAATCATTCATAAAAAGACTTTAAAAAAGAGACTTACTGATTGATATAACATCATTAAAGCACAAGAACAAAAAGAAGCAAGAAAAATTGATTGTAGTTTTCACCGAGTTTTCACCGAGAACATAGTTCTATGTTCTTGTTTTTTTTTAATTCCCTTTTCAAGAATGTAAGCTCTAGTTTACCAAAAGCTTTTCAAAGAATGAGCGCTGAAAAAAATCAAGGGAAACAATTTCAAAAGTTCTTCTGAAAGTTTAGCTGGTAAAGTGATGATTTCTGAAATTAATCTTTTCAGTAGACTAAAGAGAAGTAAAACAAAAAGACTTTGCTAACAAAAGACTCGATTGTTTTCGACTGTTTAAACATTTCCGAAAACAGTGTGCCAGAAATTCGAGAAAAGCTGTCAAAATTCACTAACTTTGACCCTGAATCTTTCCGTTCTAAAGCAACATTTGTGGATTCAAGGAAACGCAAGGTGTGTCAAGCCCTGCATTTTGCTGGGATGTTAAAATTATTGTTCTTAAGGATGTTGTTGATGTTATGTTATTGTTACGACGATTTTATGTTGCTCTTTAAATTCTGACCAAATATTTGGTGCATGTGGAATTTAATAAAATGCGTTAAAACAATTTCAAAAGGCTTTTGTGCAAAAATAAAAAATAGCAAAAACCACGAAACTTTCGAAGGACCACGATTCAGGGAAAGAGCCATTAAAACAGTTAAAAACTTTGTAAATAAATTCTTCGTAATTTCCTCTTTTCTGCGTTTTTCAGTGTTGTCTAGCTTTCATTTATATTTTCATATTTTCATTTGTACAATGATTTTGTGTTCAGTAAATAAAGATTTTTCACAAAACAAATTTAAAAAGTCAGTTTCCGATCAAAATGTATTCTAATGTTAAAGCTTTGGTACCTTTTTAATAATAATACTTTATTCAAACGATAAAGTGAAAGAAATCATAGAGAAATGCACAGTGATACTTAATCATACAATACATACTGAAATCAATAAGCCAATTACTTACGGCAAAGAGCCACTAGATCTAAAGCATAAAAAGTCAGTTTCCGATCAAAATGTATTCTAATGTTAAAGCTTTGGTACCTTTTTACTAAAAAAAAACTCTGTACAAGACTATGAGATAGACTTGTGTTTCGATTGGCTCTTTGCGGTTCGGTTTCGGTTTCGGTTCAACCGAAGTCAACCGAAATCTTTCGTTTCGCTTTCGGTTCAACCGAAAAGCTGAGGTTTTCGGCTCAGTTTGGTTCCGGTTCAACCAAAAAGATGAGTTTTTCGGCTCGGTTCGCTTCGGTTCAATCGAAAAGATGAGTTTTTCGGCTCAGTTCGGCTTGATTGAACCGAAAAGATGAGTTTTTCGGTTTCGGTTCGGCTTCAGTTCAACCGAAAAGCTGTTTCGGTTCGGCTTCAGGTCAACCGAAAAGCTGGTTCGGTTAACCGAGATCGAAACCGAAACCGAACCGAAAAAGAATGTTTCCGGTTCAACCGAAACACAAGTCTACTATGCGACAGTTTTAACATACAAAAAAAATCTCAAACACGCATTTCAAAAAGCAAGCAATCTTTTTATTATCTTCCACAAAATCTTTTGTCTTTTTCGAATCGATTTCAGTTCATCTCGGTCGTATCTTTTTTTGATATGTCATCGAGAAATGACATGAACGATGAATCACAGGGAATGAAAAAGGCCTTTCATCGTTTTGATCCAACGATTCTATAATGCACATTTCCCATATTGTGATGAAAAAGTTATATGTTTTTTATTATTTCAACAAAACCGCATGACTTTTTGGTCACAAGATTTCCCTTTTTTTTCATACAAATTCATTTTGCTTTATAAGATTTCTTTGATTTTCTATACCGAAAAATGACGTATTTTGAAAGTTTTGTGGAACTTTATTGTAATACTGGGTACAGTAATACTTGTTTATATTTTAAGTGTTAGACAACTCATTAGACAGACAAAAAATACAGTATCAAGGAGCCTGAGCTTATCATTAGGAGCTCTATTCAGTCTAATACTATCATAGGTATTGGACTTACTTAATTGACCAATCAGTAGGTATCAATAGTGATCATTATCTGTAAAAGATCAATAACCAGGTCTAGTAGGTACAAAAAGCTAAGTTGGTGCGCCACTTGTGATTAAATTTCAGTTACCGTATTTTCTCTAATAGTAGTGCCCCTCCCGGCGGCCGAGTTGGTGACTATTTTACGGCTTCCAAGCTTTTGCAGAAGTTCAACACTCTAATCCCCACTAGATCTCATCGTCAGCTACATTTTCCGACCCCACATCAATAAGTTGTGATAAGCGGTTCTCGAGATTTCGAGCAATTTAGGCGACGCTCAGAGTGCACTACTATTAGAGAAAAACGGTATTTGGTTTTTTTCTTCCCTACATTTAGGGCTTAAGGATTGTGCTTGTGTATTGTTTGTGCTATTCGTTATTGGCTTTGATTAGAAAATAGGGTTTCTTTTAGATTAAATGAGACAAAAATTGTACTAATTCTAGCTCTAGAACCGAGAATCTTATCTAAACTCAAGATTTTGACAGATTTTCCTTTCGATTACCGTATTCTCTCTAATACTAGTGCACCCCAGCGAGCCGAGTTGGTGACGATTTTACGGTTTCCAAGCTTTTGCAGAAGCTCAACACTTTAATCCCCCACAAGATCTCATCGTCAGCTACATTTTCCGACCCCACATCGATAAGTTGTGATAAGCGGTTTTCGAGATTTCGAGTAATTTAGGCGACACTCAGGGTGCACAACTATTAGAGAAAATACGTCATTTTCAATGATTGTTAATAGCTTTTAAGGTATCTATAAAAATTTCTTGAAAATTAACAAAAGATCAATGATCAAATTTTCGCTCCATAATTTGTAAACCCTGTAAATGAGTCCAGTTATTACGCAATCAAGTTTTGTCAAGCATTTAAGTTGCAATATCGATAAGGTTTGTCATTTAGTTTGCAGTTTTCCCTTATTTCACTAATTTCATTTTGATTTTTGTTTTTATATGGTTAGAAAAAAAAGAAATTGACTAAGAAAAGATTAATAAATGAATTTTAAAGCATTCTAGTAGATTTTATTATAATTTTGAAGCTTTACTGTTAAAGTTTCATTGCCTTTTCCTCATCTCATTTTGTTCAATCTCAAAAATTGTTTCTCCATCGCGAATTCACAATCACAAATGCATATTCGCCTCGTTTTTTTCTCTTATTTCGGGTTTTTTTTCCTCGATTTCCCGGGAAATAAAATGCACTTCCAAAGTTCTTTCGATCAATTCATAAAGCATTTCTCTTTAAGCAAAATTGTATACTTTAATATTAAAGAAAATTCGATTGTAATAATGAATTGGAACTTCTTAAGGTGCTGATTAGTGAGTTTTCTAGGTCCTTTATCGATTTAAAACTTAAAAATCTTAACCTTAAAAGCATTACCCTCACATTTCAGTATGAATTTCCTTTTCTTCGATTCAAAGAAGTCAAAAAGTTTCCATTTTCCATTTTTCTTCTCTAAAAAAAGGTGTTCTTATGTTCTTTGTTGTGGTGGTTGACCGTTGAAAAGACTCTCTTCGAAAAAAGAATCGAAAAAAAGATTGAGTGTGAAAAGAAACGATTTGGGTCGATGTCGCCTCAATTCTTTCACAGAAAAAGAGAAGTCCTTGAATGAGAAAAGAGGAATGAGTGGCGATTATTTGAACCACCACTGTGAGGATGGTTAGTGAGGGGAACGGAGGTGAGCTTTTGTGTGACTCATTCTTTTCAAGCCTGCGCTAAATCATTCGAATTTTTCTTGCTTTGAACCTGAGGCATCAAGTGCTGAAGTTTAGTAAGAACTGATCCAACCTATCAATCCAACCTATCAATCCAACCTATCAATCCAAACTATCAATCCAAACTATCAATCCAAACTATCAATCCAAACTATCAATCACAAGCTATCAATCCAACATATCAATCCAACCTATCAATCCAAACTATCAATCCAAACTATCAATCCAAACTATCAATCACAAGCTATCAATCCAACCTATCAATCCAAACTATCAATCCAACCTATCAATCGCAATATCTGCCCCTTTGAAGCGGTATGGTGATAGGTTTATTAACTAGCTCAGATCTAAGTGATTATTTGAACCACCACTGTGAGGATGGTTAGTAAGGAATTTGGAAAAAGGGATGAGCTTGTATGACTCATTCTGTTCAAGCCTGCGCTAAATCATTTTAATTTTTCTTGCTTTGAACCTGAGACATCAAGGAGTTTCGTTTAGTAAGAAATCAAGGAGCTGAAGCAGCTGAAGAATCAAGGAATAAGAACTGATCCAAACTATAAATCGCAAGCTATCTGCCCCTTTGAAGCGATATGGTGATAGGTTTATTACCTAGCTCAGAGATCAGATTCTCAAATTCTAAGCTCAGAGATCAGATTTTCAACTTTATTTTTGACACAATTGTAGAAGATTTTGTGGTGGCTAGATTCCTTTTGAACAGTAAATATCCATGAGAATTGTTGCCTCGAGATGCTAAAGTTCAAGCTGGGATCTAAACCGATATTGATTCTTTGTAAACCTCTTAATTTGATCTTTAGCATGTCAAATCTTTAGCATGTCAATTCGCTTTTTAATAAGAATCTAAAGAATTTGCAAAGTCACGCAGAACTGCGACAAAGCGTTAGTCATAGTCGTTCTCTTGAACCATCCCTGAAGGAGGGGAAAGAATGGGAAAGAGCGAAGCTGAGAAGGACATGCTAAAATCATCCTTTCTCTAAGTCACAATTCTAAACTTTCTTCAAACAGTGCTTTTTTGACTTATTTTTGACTTTTTATCCTTTCTCGAATCTTATTTTATTTCGTTTTTGGTTTCGATTTTTTCTCCAGACATTTACCATGACAATTTCTCGTTTTAAATAGATTCTTTAGAAAGAAATAGCTTTACTTAATGTTAGCTTTACTTTTAAATTTGTTTTCAATTTCTTTTGTTTTTCAAAAATTCAATTTTTCTTTGAACAGCATTCAACTTTTTCTTTCTCTAAAATGTCCGATGATCAACCGGTAATCAAAATTCGGCTAAGCGGAAGTGAGTCTTTAAAAAGCAAATGTTTAATTTCCTTTTGTTTAGAAGTTTAAAATTTTTTCTTATACAGCTCATTGTTGCGAAAGTGAGGAAAAAGTGGCTCATTGTGAGCGCTGTGTGGCGGCTCACGGGAACTGTGAGTTATCGTGGTGTTGTGTTTTTTCAATAGTTCCACCAGTTAACTAACTAAAGCAATTAAATGTAGTAAGCTAGGTGTAAGAGCTCGCATCCCAGAACTCGATACTAGTAGCTGATATCTCAAAGAAAGTCAAGTAAGCACACACTAGACGAGAAACTTCCAATCCGAACCTAATTCAACCTTCATTTTCTCAGCCGATTGCTCTGAAATTTTGTCTACGAGTTGAAAATATCGATTTCTATCTGTAGACAAAGCAATCGGCGAAGAAAACGAAGGTGAAATTAGGTTTGGATTGGAATTTGTCTTGTAAGCACACACTAGACGAGAAACTTCCAATCCGAACCTAATTCCACCTTCATTTTCTCAGCCGATTGCTCTGAAATTTTGTCTACAAGTTGAATGTATCGATTTCTATCTGTAGACAAAGCAATCGGCCAAGAAAACGAAGGTGGAATTAGGTTTGGATTGGAATTTGTCTTGCAAGCACACACCACTTGAATCTCTACCAGGAGAAAAGTGAGAAGTTTGATTTTAACAAAGATTTTGATCTTGGCTTTGTTTAGTTTATGTCCTAGATCCCGTTTTCCAACTGTGCACAATTTATCAATCTGTTTCGAACTTATCTTTACTAAAATCCCACTACAAACAGCTTCATCTCCATCAACGATCGCTCCCTCCCCAGAGCCATCACCGATCGTCACGCCAAGAGAGAGAAAAACCCCAGTGGCGCTTACTTCTTGTGTCCGCATTATGAGACTCATTTCCAGCAATGGTACAGTCAAAAAGATCGCAAAACAAAACGCTTTGCTTTTTGCAAAAACACTTGTATCATCGCTTTTTTGCATTTGAACGGGAATATTACTCACAAAGCTTTTGCAGAAATTTGAACCTCAGCAAACAAAGGGCTAAGTGACTAGAAGAACCATACATTTCAAAAACCTTTAAATTTATATTTGCTTTAATATTTGTATTGTTACTTTCAAATTTTTGGTGTAAACTAGAGTTGCTTATCGATATTATCGATAACGGCATACTCATGTTTGACTCTTCAGATCTCGATTTCTAGAACAGCTATCAATCTGCAAATTGTTTCATTGGAAAGCCAAGAATGTCAGCTTTTGATTGCTATTTCATACTTAGCGACTTTTAAGAAGTAAGCACCACATAAACCTTATCGATACTTATCGATATCGAAAGTATTGATTCTCGATAAGCTTATCGATATTTGAGTATCGATCAGTATTAAAAAGCTTTTTAAGGCACTCACTTATGAGAATTTGTTATATATGAGATAGTAATCAAAAGCTGACATTTTTGGCTTTCCAATGAAACAATTTGCAGATTGATAGCTATTCTAGAAATCGAGATCTGAACGGTCAAACATGAGCTTGCCGTTATCGATAATAACGATCAACAAGTTTAGTGTAAATGATTTTTTAGTGATTCATTATGCAAACAAACGGGTTATTGTCAAAATTTAGCTCATTTTATTGGTTTTCTGTGGAAGATTTCTGAAGAAGAACTGTAAACGACTGTAAATCACTGGTTGAATGGGGATGAAAGGGGAATCGATAAGGTTTACGTGGTGCTTACTTATTAAAAGTCGCTAAGTATGAAATAGCAATCAAAAGCTAACATTCTTGGCTTTCCAATGAAACAATTTGCAGACTAATAGCTGTTCTAGAAATCGAGATCTGAACGGTCAAACATGAGCTTGCCGTTATCGATAATAACGATCAACAAGTTTAGTGTAAATGATTTTTTAGTGATTCATTATGCAAACAAACGGGTTATTGTCAAAATTTAGCTCATTTTGTTGGTTTTCTGTGGAAGATTTCTGAAGAAGAACTGTAAACGACTGTAAATCACTGGTTGAATGGGGATGAAAGGGGAATTGGGGAAAGGGAGACTCAATGAATGTCCTTCACGAATGGTCTCGTCACGACGAAATCTTTTCGATTCTAATCTCTTCACTCTTTTCCTTTTTGCTTTAACAATTCACCACATAATCGTTGCTCGATAATTTGTGAAGGATTTCATTGATTCTATTGACTCTATCTGGATTTTTGTGAAAGAATTGGTAAAATTCGGTTACTCTCCGCTGCTCAAATCGGAACCAAATCAAAAATAGAAAAAGGTTTCATCGTTTTTGACTCCTTGACTCCATATTTTTTTAAAAATTAACCAATGCGAGCTTTTCAAAATTTTTTAAAGAGCAATTTGGAGATAAATGATGAGATTTTTTGATAAAAGAAACTATAAATTGATTGGTTGATTATTCATTTCAAAAAATAACCTTTAAAAAGCGGACAAGACTCTCCGGCTAAACCAATACATTCCAGGATTGATTAAATAGTTTTTAAGTGTTTGAGAACCCTGATAGAGTTCTATAATTATTCAATTATTTAATCAATCCTGAAATGCAATGTCAGATGGTCTCTTGTTAGTATAACTATGCAATTTAATGGCTGTTATTGTTTTTTTTTACTGATGTTCAACTTGCCCATCTTCTCTACTTTCATTTGATAACTAAGCGTGAAGAAACAAGCGTACTGGTGTCGAGATATGAGCGGTTTTTGAATGTAAACCTAGACTACACGTCGCTCCTATAAGGCGCTCTTCTATTAGAATATTTACGGCAATTTAATGGTTGTTATTGTTCTTTTACTGGTGTTCAAAACTAAACCATTTTTCTCGGAACTGGCCTAATTTATTGTTATTGAAGGCCAGAGCCTTGAAAAATACCTGACAAGTATTTATGAGTCAGTTAAAAGTCTGACCTAGCTTCTGACCAAGCTTTAACCTGGTTTACAGATCATAGAACCCTGAGACTTCTATTCAAGACCAAACATGCCCCTTCTGGCACACTTACTTCTAATTTTCTTCAGTATTAGTTATTGAAAGTAAAATCAAAAATTGGATGTTTCCTGAACTCTTTTGCATGCGTTGCAGATCCGAGAAACCAGCTTGAGTCTTAGAAGACAAAGGCTTCTCAACCTCCCAATCTTTCAGAACCTTTTCTGCATCTTCAGAAACCAGTCTAATACTTGTTTTCTCTTCTTCACATTTCCGTTTCCGTTTGTCCTTGAAGATGCAAATTCGGGTGTCACCCATTTAGGAGTAAAAGGGGATGAAGAAAGGAAAGAGTTGACCCGCGTGATTGGCAGTAATCTAGCCCAACCCCCCTTGCGCGTGTCTTCTTTCGAAGAAGTTTATGCAAATCAAGGATACTGGCAAGTGGGTTAACACCCAGCTTTTTAAGAATTTTTACAATTTAGCAGTAATTTTATGAACGATTTATCAAATAGTCGGGTAAAAGGGCTTCCCAATAGCAAGTGAGCTTTTGCTTTGGAGCTTTGGAGTGAGCTTTGAAGTTTTTGAAGTAAAATAGAACAGCTTTGGAAACATTTTTGTTTCCTGTCAAATGCTTCAAATATCAAATGTCAATTGTCAAATGTCAAATGTCATTTAAACCGTTAATTTAGGTATCTTTTACGTTTCTAACTTCTGAAGGCCCGGATATTTCCTTCTTCCTTTCTTCCTTTCTTCTTCCCCTTTGTCTTTCCCTCTTTCTTTTTTTCTTCTTCCCCCATGTCTTTCCCTCTTTCTTTTTTCCTCTCTTCTTTCCCCCTTGTCTTTCCCTCTTTCTTCCTTTCTTCTTCCCCCTTGTCTTTCCCTCTTTCTTCCTCTCTTCTTCCCCCTTGTCTTTCCCTCTTTCTTCCTCTCTTCTTCCCCCTTGTATTTCCCCCTTTCTTCCTCTCTTCTTCCCCCTTGTCTTTCCCTCTTTCTTCCTCTCTTCTTCCCCCTTGTCTTTCCCTCTTTCTCTCGGCAAGTTAAGGTACCGAATAGCTCACTGGTTAGAGCAATTGCCCGGAAAGCAAAAGATAAAATCACCTCTCCGGAAATCTACTTTTCTTACCAATTCCTTCACTTCCTTATTATAGTGTATTATCTTCACTTCTTCACTTCACTTCTAGTATTATCTTCACTTCTTCACTTCACTTCTAGTATTATCTTCACTTCTTATGAAACAAGTCAGGAAAAGCCAAGCTAAAAAGCTTTATTCTAGGAAAAACTAAGTTAAAAAAGCCATTTGAATATCTCAAATGTTTGAAAATCAACCTTTATTTCTAACGCTTTAATCGATAAACTTTTGAACTTTTATCTGATAAATGTTGAACAAATTCTTTCTTGGATTTAGCTGGTTTGGCTTTTCTTAGCCATCTGTGCTAAATACTTAGCACTATCGCTGCGATTTACATTCAAGATTGTTTAAATTTGTTTAATTGTTGAGTTAAGTCAGTATTAAATACAATTTAAATCATTTAAATCAATTAAATTCTTGCTTTCATCCTGTTTCGAACAAATCTTGATGCTTGAATCTTTCCGAATTTTAGCTCCATTATTGAATTCGTGCAAGTAACCCGTTTGGTTGAAGTAAAAGTACAAATAACGGATAACTGACAGTTTGTTTACTGAAATTTGTACAATAAGGCTCAAAAGACTGAAAGTCTTAAGCAAAAAACATAAACTAGTGTTAAGACAAGAACCTTTTGGTACACCAGCTGTTTACACTGTTTACTTTTTCGTACACCAGTATTTATTCATTGAAGAGCAAACAATTCTGATCCAAATCTCGATCTTTCAACCAAAACTTTCCGCTTGTTTCAAGTCCAACCAAAGCACTTTGGATTTTTGAACAAATAACGGATAAATTGTGGTTTGTTTACTGAAATTTGTACGATAAGGCTTAGACTGGAGGACTGAAAGACTAAAAGACTGAAAGTCTTAAGCAAAAAACATAAACTAGTGTTAAGACAAGAACCTTTTCGTACACCAGCTAGGGTTTTTAGAAAGATCCAAATCTGATTCAAATTTCTAGTTCTAGTTCTAGTTCTAGTTCTTAGCCGTTTAGATTGATCTAATTCTGTAGAGTTTCATAAATTCTGATCCAAATCTCGATCTTTCAACCAAACCTTCCACTTGCTTCAAGTCCAACCAAAGCACTTTACATTGTTGAACAATCATTGCCAAATCTTTCTATTGTTACATTAACGCTCTAGACTAGTTCATTAACGCTCTAGACAAGTTCCTCTTGCTTTCCAAATGGTTCCTTTGTCTCTCTTGAGATATCTTCCATTTAGGCCCTTTTCTTCCACACCATTGAAGAGCAAACCCCCTTCAAAAGCACCAAAAGCAGATTGGTTTCAGTTGTGGCTGTTCTCTCTTTCCTTTCTCCTTAAATGGTCTCTTTGGGGAATTGGTTGAGAGATCGATACATCTCTTCCTTTTCTTCCACCCATTCACCCCATTCAGCCACCATTTCCACCAACCAGCTTAGATTGAAATCGGTTCTACTCGCCAGCTGACGCTAAATTTCATATTGAAACTCAAAACTTAAATTTATAGAAACCTTTTCTTTATCTGATATCTGAATCATTTCTTGTACCAATTAAACAAAAATATTTCACTAATTAATATTTCATTTGCCAATCAGCATTCGTTTAGATTCCCGTTCATAGCTTTTCTCACCCTAAAATTGATTCTATTCTTGAATATTAATTTTGAATATGAGCACTTTGATCAACCTTATGAAATTTTTAAAGTCAATAACTTCAATTTTCACTGTTTCCCTTTTTTTCTCTAATTGTAAGCAAAGCTGAATAAGCACAATTGCAAAAGAAGCAAAGCAAAGCTCTCTTTCAAACCCGCTAATCATTTGTAGAGAACATTTGTTTGTGCAATATGATTTTGGCACATTGTGGGACATTTGAAGGCGTCCCACCTCTTCTGCCATTGGCAACCAAACTTTGAGCTCAAATATCTTGGTGTCCGGCGGTGCAATTGAAATATTCTTGGTATCATTCGATGCGCCAAATCTTTCTCTGTCGATTGGTACAAAACTATTTAAATTGGACAGTCCAACACCAAGATATTTGAGCTCAAAGTTGGATCGGCAAAAGGGGCGGGGCCAGAAAAATCTTTTATACGCGCCCCGCCTCACCATCGGCAATCTAACTTTGAGCTCAAACATCTTGGTGTTGGGCTGTTCAATTTAGATAGTTTTTGTATCAATCGATAGAGAACGACCTGGCGCATCCAATGATATCAGGAATATTTAAATTGAATAGCCCAACAGCAAGATATTTGAGCTCAAAGTTAGATTGCCAATGGCAAAAGACAATGACGCGTACCAAATGTCCGTTAACCCCGGTAAATAGGTTGGCAAAAGGTGCAAAAGGTGGCAATTGGCAATGGCAAAAGGTGCCGGACGATGGACCTTTTATACGCGCCCCGCCTCCTTTACCATTGGCAATCTAACTTTGAGCTCAAATTTCTTGGTGTTGAGCTGTTCAATTTAAATAGTTTTTGTACCAATCGACAGAGAAAGACTTGGCGCATCCAATGATACCAAGAATATTTAAATTGAACAGCCCAACACCAAGATATTTGAGGTCAAAGTTTGGCTGCCAATGACAAAAGGGGTGGGGCGTCCGATAACCCACTTTGAATTTATTAAAATTAATATTTGAAAATAGAAGAGGTTCCTGAGGCTCCTGAAGAGGTTTTTACTTGTAAAATGCTTATCTTTATTGCTAGTGGAATGGTAAATCTATTTTTTTATCTTCTGCCTACACATTCTCGCGATTTAATGAACACACCCTATTGGTTTATATTTCGCAATGTGGTTAGGCTTTGCGAGAGTAGGGGTGAATGGGTGAAAAGGGGAAAAAGAAGTGAATACGAGAAAAGATCCGAAAAAGGGAAAAGAGGCAACCCCCAATAATGACCACCCTTTCCTTTTCATGTAAGGGAAATAAGAGTATGACTCAGCTGTGCGACTATATTTGATCAGGAAAGGGTTCTAGGAATGTTGTTTATTTGAATTGATTGATTAAATTGATTTCATTTTTCCATTGATAAGTTGAATTGCTGAATAAAACTAGTGTTTTAGGCTTCAAATTACAATTAAATCTGAATAAAACTATTGTTTTATTTAGATTTAATTGTAATTTGGAATGGTTTTGAAAAATTTTGTTATTTAAAGCCTGGTTACTGCAGGAACTTGACCAAATCTTTAATAGAAATTTACAAAATATTGATTATTGATTCGGAATGGACAAATTTGCAGCTATTTTTTGACTTTTTAGTTGTAAACTTTTGAATTTTGAATAGAAATTTGATTATTTGAATTTTAGTTCCTATTTAGTTCCCATTTAGGTCCTATTTAGTTCCTATTTGTTTCCTTTTTAGCTGTTATTTAGTTCCTATTTGGTTACTGTATAGTTCCTATTTGGTTACTGTATAGTTCCTATTTAGTTCCTATTTAGTTCCTTTATAGTTGCTATTTGGTTCCTTTATAGCTCCTTCTTGGTTCAATTTCAACTATAATTTCACTTAAAGACTTTGAGATTTTGTAAAAATTCATGGATTTTGATTATTTTGGATTTGAATTGATAAGATGAATCAGCAGTGATTCAAATTTTTCTGAACTCTAGAAGAACTTTAGCTTTAGAAGAACTTTAGAAGAACTTTAGCTTTAGAAGAACTTTAGAAGAACTTTAGCTTTAGAAGAACTTTAGAAGAACTTTAGCTTTAGAAGAACTTTAGAAGAACTTTAGCTTTAGAAGAACTTTAGAAGAGCTTCTAACTTTTTAAATCAATAGATTACAACTTTAGTTTTAGTATATTTTAAAAGAAATTCTTAAAAAATGAAAAATCCCAGAGTATTTTCAAAAAAAATGACTAATCAACAAATCATTTTATTTTTCTCTCAGTCATCAAAGATTTCTTTTTTTTTTGCCTTGTTTATGAGCAATCTAAAAGGATTTATTCCCGCTTATCAGCTTTGTTTTTCTTTCAAAAGTTTATTATTGCTCTGGAGTGTTGTCTTTTCATTTTCTATTTGAAGCTTTATATAATATTTCGAAATTTTCCTTATTATGTATCGATTTTCAGTCGCCACTCGAAACATGGAGAGAAACGCGGGCTCTTTCGAGGATTCGACTCGTCATGAATGTGAGTTGCAACCTGAAGATCCAAAAATATCCAAAAAGATGACCAAAAATATCCAAAAAGATGACCAAAAATTCACTTCAAGTAGTAAGTACAGTACTGGACAATGAAATATCATATTTGAAAAACGGTCGTCACTTTTGCGCGCGCTGAATTGCGTCAAAAAATACGGTATTTCTAAATATTAATACTACCATTGTGTAGCCCTTGAAAAGGGCTTTCAAAAAATGTATAACACTAATAGTTTAAACTCAAAGACAACGGAGTTACAGACGCGCGAACGTGACGATCGTTTTTCGAATATCATATTTCATTGTCCAGTACTGTAGGTAGACAAGATTTTGTTTGAAAATGTAGCAATTGTAAATTGGTATCATTTACCTACATTAAATTCCCAAAAGATAAAACTTTCATGCCAGAGTCGATTGCTCAAAATTCGATTGCAGTTTCAGGATCTCTAATTGACAGCCTAGGCAGCCAGAAAATAGACAGAAAAGTAAAAATTTGAATCAAGTTTATTCATCTTTTAATCAAGTTCTATTAAGTCAAGTTCTATTAAAGGTAATTTAAAAATATTGATTCTATCAAAAGTTTCAGCCGAGTCAAAAACGTCAGTTTTTCTCTTTGTCGACCGCATTTCTCCTTGTTACTTTGGGAAGCTAATTTTTTTGGTCGAAAATATTCATCATGAGATCTATCGAATAAAGTATCACTCATTTCAAACGGCCATGGACTAAGTAAATTGTAGTTTTCTATAATCAAATTTCATAAGGAACATTTTAAAAGCAACCCCGAGTCGATCTGTCTATTGGAAGTCAAGTTATAGAGTAAAATAGAGTCCCCAAACATTTTAAAAGCAACCCCGAGTCGATCTATCCATTGGAAGTCGAGTTATAGAGTAAAATAGAGTCCCCAAAGATTTTAAAAGCAACCCCGAGTCGATCTGTCTATTGGAAGTCAAGTTATAGAGTAAAATAGAGTCCCCAAAGATTTTAAAAGCAACCCCGAGTCGATCTGTCTATTGGAAGTCAAGTTATAGAGTAAAATAGAGTCCCCAAAGATTTTAAAAGCAACCCCGAGTCGATCTGTCTATTGGAAGTCAAGGTATAGAGTAAAATAGAGTCCCCAAACATTTTAAAAGCAACCCCGAGTCGATCTATCCATTGGAAGTCGAGTTATAGAGTAAAATAGAGTCCCCAAACTCCAGGCTTAACCACGGAATTGGATGAAATTTGGAAGGGTCTCCGAACTCCGAGATATTCGAACCACTCCCTTCTTCTCATTTAACTTGACTCTTGCTTGGCCTGCTTGGGCTGCTTTGTAAACGACTTGAGTCACGTCAAACTTCAGCTTAAACAAGACCTTGTAAGGTACAATAAAATATTAAAAGACTACTGTAACTTTATGACAAAATTAGGCACGTATCAATAGTTTCTCTAGAGTTTCTTTTTACGCGAACACCCTATTCTTACCCCAAAGAATTTGTTAGTCCTAGAGATCCAATTTCATGCCCAAACACGAAAACTTCTTGCTTTACAAGGCTTTCCTTTGATACGAAATCTCTAATTTTTAGTATTTCTTGATACAAAATCTCTAATTTTTAGTATTTCTCAAGAGTTCCACTTAAATTCCCCTTTTTTTCTCGAAATTTGATGATGAAAATGTTTTTGGTGAAAAGAATGAGTCATCTTTTTTGCCTTTTTCTCAAAATGCCTCGGCAAAATCACAATTTTCCATTTTTTTCGTTTCCGAATTCTTTTCATCGATTGTCTGAATTTTATCAATGTGTAAGTTTAGCTGAATATCTTGAAAGGAAACGTCTCGTGGGTCGGATTTGAGATAGATTATAGAAGAAAGCTAAAATGTTCGTGTTTCCTAAACTTTTCGATGAACATCAAACAGGTTTTCCATAGAAATTAGCATCATGGTTAAAGCAAAAGAAAAATAACATCAAACTTATGGAAATGTGAAGCTAAAAACCATGTTTTCTAAAGCGTGTCAATTTGAAAAAGTTGTTGTAACCGTTCTCATCTAATCTAAATGCTTTTAGTATGATTTTTGATGGTTCAAAAGATATTAAAAGATAAGTGAATCGATTGGATAAACCAGAGACAAGGTTACGGTGCTTTTCAAACGTAGACACGTTTTAGAAAACCCAATGGCTGAAAACCCGTTTTAAAAAACACAAGGCAAGCACCCCAGCACCGGGGAAGTACCGCCGATCGCCAAACGCCCAAATAGAAATTGCAGAATTGAATGTGCTGATGAAAATCCCATAAAAATTAGCTGCACATACCTGCGAGATATCTGGCATAGAAGTTTCCAAGGGGAAAACTCGAAAACAGAAATTGAATTCCTAAGCGAAGACTCGAACTCGAGCAAAAAGCACAGGGACCGCCCTATAGACGGGTCTCTTACCCACTGCGCCACCGGCTACGATCTTCGCACCCCAAAAGAAGTCTTTTAAGCCGGATGTCGGAAACTTCTATGTCAGATATTTTGCTAATTTTCTTGCAGGATTTTGATCAGCACTTTTACAACTTTTATTTGAGCGTTTGGCGATCCGCCGATCGAACTGGGGTACTAAGAAATAACTTTGAAAACTCTGTGTTCCTTCTCAATGCCAAGAAGACCCGAAAAATTTGCACATCTGCAAAACAGCCGCTTGTTTACTCAGTATAATTTCTCGGAAAACAAACCCTGAGCAATATTTGTCATAGAAGACTGTCTAGAAGTATGAATCAGTACTTATTACTCACAACCAAAAATCCAGTACTTAAAACTTCAATTTTAGCCAGAATGAGCTTTGACGAGCCGCAGGAACTCGACTACTCGAGCAATGGAAATGAAAGAGGTCAGGGATTATTGTAATTAGAATTTTATGAAATACATTTATTAGCAAGAATAATATGGTACAAACAATACACAAGCACAAGCTCTAAGCCCTAAATGTCAGGATGAAAAAAACCCAGATACCGTAAAAGCTGTAATAGTAGCTCCGGGAGTTTGAAGCTGAAGTTTGACGTGACTCAAGTCGTTTACAAAGGGCTAAATTTTTCGGTCAGGTCAAGCAAGAGTTAAATGATAAGAAGGGAGTGGTCCGAAGTGAATATCTCCTTATTTTTTCATTGGTCCTCTAGCCGGGTCACTATTAGAGTAGGGGCTACTATTAGAGGATGGTCATTATTTTTTCGATAGTACTTTTTTCCATTCAAATGACCAAAACTGGAAAATACAAGATAATTTTCACTCATGAAAGAAACATTTTTCAATTAATTTATTTACAAAAACAAGTAAAATTCAACGAAAATTAACAATAAAATCAGAAATGTAAAAATCTAGATCAATTGATATATCAGATCCAAATTCTTCCTCACATATTCCTGTTTCTTGACGAAAATCGAGAAGATTTGCTGAAGTAAGAGGATCCAGGAGCTCGTCGACTTCTTTTTCGATAAGTGCATCCCTGAGTAACTGTAGTTCTGTAGGAACCGCGCCATCGATTGGTGGCGTCGAGGTGTGGGAGGTCCAGCGGGTAGTCGTCTTCGTCGGCGAGTGGTGGCGTTGATCCCGGCACAACCAGCTGATTTACTTAAAACAGTAAATCAGCTGGTTATCGGCACCACTTGGATCGCTACAACTTTTGCAGGATCGACGAATAACTTCTTCCGAAATTGAATCCCATGCATCAGCAACCAATTTTAAGTAGATGTCCATTCCAGGAGCCTAGTAAAAGCGTTTCTTAGCAAACAAAATTTGTTAAACGCTACACCATTTGGATCAATTCCAACACCACAGCTTTTGAAGGATCGACAAATGACTTCTTCCGAAATTGAATCCCAACCATCAGCAACCAATTTTAAGTAGATGTCCATTCAAATTAGATCCAACTAAGCCAGGATAAAAGTGGCCCTTCCCAACCACCAAAGTACCTAAAATTATACGTAAAAAAAAGCATTGCAAAGTAAATTTTGTTAAACGCTACACTTTACACTGCGTAAAGTGAATGAAATCACTCCTTTTGACTGAATATTTTTCTATTTCAACGAGAGATACAAAATATTCAGCCAAAAGTAGATGTAAATTTTTTTTTCTACGCAAATTTGGCGGGAGCTACTATTAGAGAGGCTACTATTAATACTAATATTACTATTACAGCTTTTACGGTATATCGGAAAAAGAACCAATAATCTAGCCTGCGAAATTGAACCCTTGACCTCATGACTAAGATACGGTTGGCCATAGCGGCCATAGCGGCCGCAGCGGCCAGAGCGGCTATAGCTGACTGGCCTACTGGCCATAGCGTCGGCCAGTAGGCCAGTCAGCCATAGCGGCTTCCACCAAACGGTTTTCTAGAACGTGTCAAAACCGTAGCTTGTCTTCAATTTATCCATTTTTTAGATCACATCGAGGAACACCAATATCACGGTGAACAAGTTCATGAAGAGAATCACAATCATTATAAACAAGAACAATATCATTATGATCCCGAGCCGGAACCAGTTCACGAGGAAGTCATTCAAGAGGATCATCTCGATGATTTCAAGAGGGTATATTTTCAAGTTAAACCCCAAAACTAAATAGGTTTTTGAAGATATCAAAGTTCCATAACTTTCAAGGCACTTTAACATACACTCTCTGGTACACGTGAATCTTTAGTTCGGGTTTTAAGCTTTATTTTACTTTGACACAACTTTGACACAACTTTCAACTTTATTTTTTGTTATATTCAGTCTGATAACTTGTTTATATTAGCATTTTTACATTTACGCTAAATTTTCAAATCAAATTTGAGAGTATAAGATAGATAAATACATTTAGTTCACTTTAGAAAGAGGATGAAGCTCTTTAATATGAAAATTCTTGCTCTAAAGACCTAGGAACTTGTCCAATAGCAAATCAGATTCAAAATTCTAACTTCAAAACTAATTTTTCAACTTTGCACACTTCTATCGCTTTATGCTTGCTGATATTTTTTAGAGCCAAGTACGAGATGAGGGTGAACAAGAAGAAAAAGAAGAGAAAGAAGAGATTGCCGAAGAAGAGGTTGCACTAGAAGAAGAACATGTTAATGAGCCAATAGATGAGAAAGCTGAGGAAAACGAAGCACGGGAGGAGGTCACAAAATGAGCTTAACTCACTTGACTTGTTCTTATTTACTTTGGGTTCAAGTTTTGAAACATATCATGTCTGACACATTGACTTTCTGCACAGTGAATTTAGTGGAGCAGAAAGGGTGTGTTTCCAGACCCCGAGGACCTTGGGCTCAAAACACATCCGTTCTGGTGTACTGTTGCTTAGGCAATCGATGGTTTTGAGCCCAAAATACACCCCAACAAGTTCACAGTCCATCCCTTTCTCACTGATTAACTTTTCTGAACCACAATTAATCTGAAAGATAACAGATTTCACAAATTTTACACTAACTTTACTGTTTCTTTTTCTGCTTTTGAAGTAAACTTGCTAAAGTTGATGGAATGCCGAAGTGGAAAGCGGAAAGCCGTCAAAACAATGATCCTATTTCAGTCGATCGATCACCAAGAGAATCATTCGGTTTCGGAAGCGATTATCGAATTTGGTGATGAAAAGGAAGAGGTACTGGAGGAAAAAATTTAGAGCTGACTCAGAAATAATGGAGTTACAGAACTGATTTACTCAAGAAAAACTAGATTAGACCTAAAATAGGCCTAAAATAGCCAAACTAGACCAAGTCCACTAGACCAATAGCCAAACTAGGCTAAAGTTACTCTAAGGCCAGACCTAATCTGGCTTTTTGCTCTGGCTTGATTGGTCTCAACTGACCTGGCTTACAACCGTAAGGTTACAAGAACTGATTCAGAAGCAGAGTGCTTTAAGAACTGATTTACCCTGGTCAAACCAGACCAGATTATAGTGCCAAAGCTATACAAAAGATCTAGCTTCATATTTCACCTAGCTCTGGCTAAGCTTGACCTGGTCAAGTCTGACTTAGGGTCTTGTTGAAGCATCATTATCTAGAAGTGATTGGCTGATTGGCAATTGGCTAAGCTTGACCTAAGTCTGACTTAGGGTCTTGTTGAAGCATCATTATCTAGAAGTGATTGGCTGATTGACAATTGGCTAAGCTTGACCTGGTCAAGTCTGACTTAGGGTCTTGTTGAAGCATCATTATCTAGAAGTGATTGGCTGATTGGCAATTGGCTATGGACTAACTATAGTCAGAATATGACAAAGTTCAGCTCATTCAGTATTAGGAGTAGATTGGAATCTTCTTGTTGAAATGATTCCAAAAGTTACACTTGTTAGTATTTGGTTTCGTAATTCTGCAGGATTAGGTACCATAATCCACTTAGTAGTATTTACAGTAATCCACAATACAATCTTTACAGTAATCCGGCATTGTAATCTTCTTCAAATTGCTTTCACACATGCAATATTATCACTTTCAAATACATTTTTTTTGACATTTTTTATTTTAACTTTTCTTTTACACCTAACACTTAACGGTAAAAGTTTAATGAATATTTCAATGATTAAAATCCAAAAATTCTTTAGGAAGCTGCACATCATTATCCTCAACAAAACTATCAAGAACATGTGCATATTTCGCAAGAATCGGAGATTCATGAGAAACAAAATGAGAACAAGACACCGAGTCCACCACCATCAAAAGGAGTGAGTCATTTCGAGGAAATTATAGCCAATCAACTATTCAGAAAATTGTCAATGATTTCAAATTTGAGGAATCAAAGCCGGCAATTAAGGAGGATCAAGGAGAGAAAGATATTAAACGTGAGTCATTAAACGTCATTTTGATTCATTAAACGAGTAAAATATCGATCCAATTGCAAGTCTAAAGAGGTGGGGTTGATAAGTTTGAAACTGTTGCAGTTTGACAAGTTGATAAAGATACCAGGTTTAGTTCTAAAAAGTTGAACTCAAAGTTCACTCCTGAATGAAGCTTATAAAAGATTTGCACCTGAAAAGTATTTTAACTGAAATATTGGGTTGGTGAATTGAAAACTATTGTCATATGTGACAGCTTGAGCACTAACAATAAGAGTACTAGCTAGGAAACAATTTCCGAGCATTAGAATCTAAATTTTCAGTCTATTGAACAGCATCAAGCTTTTCAAAAGTGGTCATGGTAAGTTGAGAATTTCCTTTGGTAAATATTGGGTTGGTGAATTGAAAACTGCCGGCTATTGTCATATGTGACAGTTTGAGCACTTTCTTCAAAGGAAACCCATTTTGGTGTCAATGGAAAAGTTGTAGAGAATCAAAAATTAAGCTTATATCCAAATTTTCAGAACGATTCAAAAACTGGTTTTCAAGAAATGCCAAATTTACGAATCTTCACAAAACTTGCATTTGAAGCGAAACTACTAAGTGTATCTTTTTGGAAATTTGGCTATAAGCCTAATTTTTGATTCTCTACAACTTTTCTATTGACACCAAAATGGGTTTCTTTTGAAGAAAGTGCTCAAACTGGGACATCTCCAGTCCTCCATTTTTGAGTCTCACACTTGTCTCACACACAAACCAAAATCCTACTGGGAAAGAGGAATCCGCAAATTACCTGTAAAATCGGCAGAAGTCGTCAATCATAATGGAAATTATTTGGAAGGAATGGTTTTATGTTGAATAAATTTTAGTTCAGTTTTCAATTCACCAACCCAATAGTAATGGGAGTGGGACAAATGCGACCTTTTTTTGCGCACCCGGACATTTGCGCACCTTTTTTTCCGCACTTAGCCCATTAGCGCACCTTTTTTCGCGTTTTAAAAAAGCTCTAAAAGATGATATTAACCAATTTCTATTCCAAAAGTTGTTTTTCTAGGTAATTTTAGGGCGTAGAATCGAAATTTTGGCATATCAGAGCTTGTGGAAGCGAACGGACGGAGTTATACAAATTACCTAAAATTACCTAAAAAAACAACTTTTGGAATAGAAATTGGTTAATATCATCTTTTAGAGCTTTTTTAAAACGCGAAAAAAGGTGCGCTAATGGGCTAAGTGCGGAAAAAAAGGTGCGCAAATGTCCAGGTGCGCAAAAAAGGTCGCATTTGTCCCATTCCCATAGTAATGGACAGGGTGTACCACTCAAGTAATCGTGCAAAATAGGAAACAGCCTTGACTGAATGTTTCTAAAACAAAGGCATATGTTCTTATATTTTTAAAATATTCAGTCAATGCTGTTTTCTATTTTGCACTATTACTTGAGAAGAACGCACTCTAGTAATGGATTTTGTTGTACTAATCAGTAATGGATTTTATTACTTGAAAAAATTTTAGAGAATGTCGAGAATTTATAGAAAAATACGCCTAAATTTAGGTGGGAAACTTTTCCTTAAAATTTGAACATAGTGATGCCAAAAAAAAAACATAAACTGACCGCTCCTTTCCAAAAGGGAAGCGCTTTATACCAATAAGCGGTGAGCGATTGTGCGTGCGCACAAAGAACACCACGTCAGTCACAGGGATTTTTATTTACTTGGCCTCAAATAAAGATACCGTATTTACTCTATTAGTGGGGTCCCCCACTATTTTTTCAATCCCCTTCCAGACGACCCCACTATTAGAGAGGACCCCACTATTAGAGAAATTTAAAAGAACATAAAACCAAAGTTTTAAGTTGAAAAGATATCAATTTTTCTCCGAAATTCTTGAAAAAACAAGTTTGGCTTCATATTTTATTTAGCTTTAACCGTAACAAAACATTAACAAACAGTAAAAGAACTAATCCAAGAGATCAACAATTGATGTATCACTTTCGTTACCAATATTAGAGAGGACCCCACTATTTTTTCAACCCCCCTCCAGACGACCCCACTATTAGAGAGGACCCCACTATTAGAGAAATTTAAAAGAACATAAAACCAAAGTTTTAAGTTGAAAAGATATCAATTTTTCTCCGAAATTCTTGAAAAAACAAGTTTGGCTTCATATTTTATTTAGCTTTAACCGTAACAAAACATTAACAAACAGTAAAAGAACTAATCCAAGAGATCAACAATTGATGTATCACTTTCGTTACCAATATTAGAGAGGACCCCACTATTTTTTCAACCCCCCTCCAGACGACCCCACTATTAGAGAGGACCCCACTAATAGAGTAAATACGGTATTCAGCTCTAAATTTGCACCCACGGGCTTTGAGGGTCGGGGAATCGATTGAAGCTATTCATTTTATTAAATCTTTGGCAAAATTGGGCACGAAATTGCATATTTTCAGGCGGCACGGTGAAAGGCTTGATCAATATGTGGAACAATCCGGACGAGCTCACGAAAGGGCAAAACGCAAGTAACACCTATAAAACCGGTGAGCAGTTGGCGATTAACAAAAACAAATTTCAGTGTTGTTCCGTAGTAAAGTTAAAATCTCAATTAAACCATTTTCTAAAGAAGTGGAAATTACCTCAAATCAACCTGTTGCTTACAGAATCCGTACGTTTGCAAATCAAATCGAAAAGTCATTTTGTTTTTTACTTTAAATACTTAATTCTTATATTGTTGTTTTTAAAGGGGAAATTTCATAGTTGAAGCCGTAAAACATCTGAACAAGTTTTTGCTATAATATTATTGGGTTGGGGAGAATGAGTCGGCGCCAAACTTTAAAGGGACTTTTTGCACACATAAAGCCTTCTTTAAACATACGTTTGGTTTCATCAAAAGGATCCACTATTTCTCTACAAAATGACTTTTGAGAGATTCCACAAAGCTTTTCTTTCGTGGAGTTTATGAACTTCCAAACGCAGCTGGTTAAAATGGCAAAGAGTCCGACTCATCATTTGAACAGTTTCTTTCACATAAACCTTCTTTGGTGTTTATATAAAAAAGATAGAGCACATTCAATTACTTAAGTTGCCAAATTTGCAGGAAGATCCCACCAATGGCTTTTTCTAGATGACAGTTTGTAGTTTTTGTGAAAAAATGGCTTTTTCTTGAGCGGAGGCGCTGTTTGAATTTTCTTTTAAATGTCATTTTGTAGAGAATTAGTTAACCATTCTACTGATATCAAACGCATATTATTTGACGAAGTCGAATAGAAGTTTTAGACATTTTTTTCATTTTCGGCGCCGACTCATTCTCCCCAACCCAATAGATTAAGTACGATGTACTATTAAGATTAAGTATGTGTTCGTATGCTATCTTCATTGATCGTTTTAGAAACGTTTAATCGATCCAAACACAAACGGTTTATTTTATTGAAAAGCCAGTTTTGTTTTTCTACAAAATGCTTTTTAAGTGTTTTAAAAAGTGCTTGTTTTGAGCAAATTTCAAGAGGCGAAAGAAGCCGAATCATCAAAATTGTCATAGAGCCGATTATGCGATTTCCCTTTCCTCTACAGAAACCTATTTTGAGGTAAATAGAAAAAGGATAGAACATAAAAGTTAGAAATATAGCCAAATTTTCAGAAAAATTCGTCACACCGTTTTCTTTTACATCAAAATAGGTTTCTGTAGAGGAAAGGGAAATCGCATAACTGAATCTCTGTTAATTTTGATGAAATTCATTATTTTCAAAAATAATGAGCAAGAGATACCAATATATAGTATTCAATTTAATATCATAGTAAGGCAAAGACAATGAGTAACCCAAATCTCTATCTTTGGTTCAAAAATTCAAAAATGGATTCGTGGCGGTTTCGGCGCGGTTCAAATCTGCGGTTCAATATTTTTAGCGTAAATAAGTTCTTTGTGATTAAACAAAGTCCCAAAATACAAAACCGACTAAAAAAGAATTTGCCCATTTGATTTAGAATAGAATCAAAGAACTTTCGATAGAAATTTTTTTTGATGGAAAAAGTAAGAACAGTCTGGGGGGGCTCAATACTTTTTTCCACCACTGTAAGTGTTGGTATGCTATCTTCATTGATCGTTTTAGAAACGTTTAATCGATCAAAACACAAACGTTTTGTTTTATTGAAGAGCCCGTTTTGTTTTTCTACAAAATGCTTTTAAGTTTTTGAAAAGCGCTTATTTTGAATTTCAAGAAGTTTCAAAAAGGCGAGAAGGCGAGAATTTCGAAAAGAATTTCATCAAAATTAACAGAGATCCAGTTATGCGATTTCCCTTTCCTCTACAGAAACCTATTTTGATGTAAATAGAGAAAAGATAGAACATAAAAAGTTAGAAATATAGCCAAATTTTCAGAAAAATTCGTCACACCGTTTTCTTTATCTTTCTCTTCTAAGAATTTAAGATAAATGAGAATTTACTGGCAAATTTCTATCATATTTTTATTGATTTTAAACCGAAATTTTTATTAAAATAGCTAAAATTAAACACTAAACACTTTTTTACTATTAGCGATCCAACGAGAGAAAACTTGCTTAAAAAAATAATGAGCAAGAGATACCAACATATAGTATTCAATTTAATATAATGCTAAGGCAAAGACAATGAGTAACCCAAATCTTTATCTTTGGTTTTTTGCGGGTAATACGTTTTCTAAAAGATTACAGTAGTTTTTAAAGTTGTCCATCTTTTAGAAAGTCCATTGGAATGAAAATAAACAAGTTCATTTCGGGTTTGATAAAAAGATAAACCAGGTGCAAAATTTGGTACTGAGTTAAAGGGGGTATTAATCGTGGCCGGGTGACGATAAAATTTATTTTACGGCAACCACCTGTTTTTTATTTTAATATCGCTGATTTTATTATAAAAAGAATAAAAATCACCCGGCTAGAGTGATTTGATGGGTTACTAAATTTTTGGAGACACTGCAAGGCTGAAAAGACACTGGAGAAAAACAAGATCGTCACTCATCAGACACCTCAGCACAGTCTAGATCGATTGAGTTTTAATTGCAGATAAATTTAAAAACAAAATAAAAAGCACAAAAACAATAAAAATAAATTGTTAATCAATAATTCTTCCTCTTGCTCACTTTCATCTTCGCTCAAGTACAGCAGTTCCTCAAATCGGCTTCCTATCTTATCAATTTCCAGCGCATCTTCACCAGAAGTGACTGGATCTCCTCCACCGTAGGACGTCTTCAGCGCTTTTGATTGATACAATTAGATCTTTTTTCCATTTGTGGTCGCTTGTGGTTTAGGTTTTCTCAAATAGGTGCCTTTTGCTGAGGTGTCTGTTGAGTGACGATCTTGTTTTTCTTCAAACCTTGCAGTGTCTCCAAAAAGTTGTAAACCCATCAAATCACTCTAGCCGGGTGATTTTTATTCTTTTATCATAAAATCAGCGATATTAAAAAAAAAAAAAACATCTCTTTGCCGTAAAAAAATTTTATCGTCACCCGGCCGCGATTAATTCCCCCTTCCTAAGTACTTACGGTACTTAGTTTCCTTCTGGGGTAAGGGAGATCAAGTGCGTTGTGGTGTAATGTTGTCCCGTAAGCGAAAGGTCGTGGTACGAGTCCTTGCGGTGTACAATTTTTGATCTGCCCTAGTTGCCTGGTAAGCGAAAGGTCGTGGGTACGAGTCCTTGCGGTGTCCAAGTTTTGATCTGCCCTAGTTCCAATTACTAGAAAAAGTTAGTTTTATTCGGGTTTCCAGAAGCAACACTGTTTCAATTTCAAAAAATTAATCCCTTACATTAATCCCTTACAATGACTTGTTATCCTAGCATGTTTTATGGCTTTCACCTAAATTTACTCCCAATTCTGTCATTTTAACCTCTTGAACTGTTATTTTTCTTCAAGGAATTACTTTAGCGTATGGTGTTGCTGGAAGCGAGAAACCCCGGCGACAGTGCGCAACAATTGGTGCGAATGATCGAGAAAGAGTCGTTTTTTCCAATTTCTAAACGCTTTAACGAAGTTGCTGGTAAAATGGAGAAAACTTTTACATTTCAATTGATTCATTTTCTAGTTTGAAGCACATTTTGTGCAAATTTCTGCATTTTTCTTCTTCTTCTTGCCTGATTACTATAGTATTTATTGATCCCGATGTTCTATAATATTAGCTTTTCTATAAATTTTGAATTCTTTGTGCAATAAAGCTTGAAAAATGTAGTAAAATACAACAACCAAAAATGCAAAACAGTACAAACTTTATGTACTTTGAGGTCCAAGAATGATAAGCACACACCTCCCAATGCACTCAAAATTCCTTCATCAGCACCGCTTTAGGAAAAGAAATAGGTGCGCCAGAAGAAAGTTGTTTACAGTTTTTGTTTACAGGCTAGGGTCAGGCACGGCAGAGGCAGAGACCTGGGCCCCTAAGATCTGACCTGGCTGGTCATGGTTTTGCCTTTTCAGAGCACCTCTGGTCAGATCAAATAGTTGCAAGTAATGGTATTTCTAGCATCCAGAATTCATCTAAATTCATTCAAATTCCAGATAGCATTCACAACAGCAGATTCATTTTGCTGCGCCGGGAAAAACGCGTTTCATATGAGCGAGACGACGAAATTGCACAAAGCCTATTTTACGGTGTTACTTTGGGCTGGGTTTAGTTCTTTATCATTTCAGAGTTCTCTTTTAGACGATGATCCCTTTATGGACCGTTTCTGTTTCCTATTTATTCGATGGTGTGTGATCATCTACAACGAGATGATGGTACCATTTGGTAAGTGTGGAAAAATTCTAATGTAGGAATCTTATAAGCTATAAACCATGGCAAGCCTAGGTATGCCAATCAGGGCTAGGCTCAAGCAGAACCAGGTAAAGTCAAGATAGAGACAAGCTAGAGCCAGATCTGGCTCGGCCATTCAAAGTAGAAGCAGGCTTGGATTAAGCTAAGTGCAAGACAAGGTTAAACATCAAAAATGTACATATTAATATTTTTCACATACGAAGTACTTTCAACAAAAATTGAAATGTTCAAACGAAAGACCTTTCCAGAGTTGCTCAATTTTCTCTCAAGTCTTATCGGTTGTCACACCATCATCTTTTCAAGTATTCTATTTATTTTACAAAACCATATCGAGGTTTATTGTTGCAAAGATTAATCAAATAACGAAAAGTGAGCCAAAAGTTTAGGCTCAAAAACTGAAACAAAAACTTTAAAAGAAGCTTCTTACCAACAGGTGCATTCTTTTCACCATTTCAAATAACTATGCAAAAATAAGGGAATATAATCGTATAACTTAATCCTAAATACATATTCAATACAATTTTTTTAAAGATTTTTGTTCATTTGCTGTTTTTTTTGAACGTGTAGGCGCCAGGAAACCGAGGAAATCGGAAACCTTTGAGAGAAATGCGTTCAAGTAAAAAAGAAAAAAGAAAAGCATTTTTTAATTGCTTTGTTGATTATCCACAAATCAAGGAAATCCAATTTTGTGTTTATGATCACAATCCTATTCTAGACTGTTCACCGTAATTCAGGCCGTTTTGTTTGCATAGTGTATTCTAGCCTGAATACCTTAATCTATTAGGTTGATGCATAAGTCTGTTTTTGTTCCTTTTCGTCTGCCGTTTCAAGCCAACAAATGCACCGAATTAAACTACGGTTGATTTCATTAGAAAAACCAATTATTTTTCTGCCAAAATAACATTAAAACGGGGTTAAAAATATTTAATGCCTGGATTTTCTTGAGAGTATGAAGTCGGGTAGTCAAAAGGGCTAACTCGATGATGCGGTTTAGACACCCTAGCTAAAAAAGAAAACCTATCTTCGTGTCAATAGATAAAGATAGAGAAAAAAGTTTGATATTTCTGCCGAAAATTTCAGAGAAATTCATTCAGCCCAATTTTTCCGTAGAGTTTTTATAGATTTTTACGAAAAAGGCGTTTTCACTCTCGAATTTGCTTGAAAGTGAACCGAGAATTGATTTAAAAGATGCAAATTGAACAAAAAACACTTTTTTTATAGAGCAAACTATAGATTAATTGGTGAATTTGTTACTTTTTTAACAGAAGTACGAAAAAACGAAAAGACTTATGCATCAACCTATTGGTTTAAATACCGTCGTCCAGCTAATCTAGACAGAATCGTCTGCGATTTCGACAAATTTGGGTTTTCTTTCAATGTTTTTCAGCAAATCTATCCACCATTACGGAGATTATTTCAGAGACACATTTAGTAT